CTCTTTCCCCTTCCCCTCCCCACAACAGACACCCTGGGAGGGAGGTGGGGCTGAGAGAGCTCTGACAGGAACGGCTCTTTTCCAATGACAGCTCTTGTCAGAACTATGGCTTGCCCAAGGTCATCCAGCAGCTGCGAGTGGAGGAGTGGGGGAATCAAACCCGGTTCTCCCAGATTAGAGTCCGCGCACTCAACCACGACACCAAACTGGCTTTTTGCAGGTGAGGAGCCACGGGAAAAATCCACAAGTGGCTCTGACCCTCAACCCTTCTGCCATGGTAACAGGAAACAGTTCTTGCACGAAACTGAACTGGGGGGCTAGGAGTCACAAAGGGGGAGGAGGGGTCACCGAAGCTAAACACTCCCTATCCTCCACGGTGGGGGATGTCAGGGAGCGAGCCACCACTGCCTGGTATTGTAACTTTCGTTTCTTACTGCCTGACAATACTCTGTTAGGGAAAGGGAAAGGTTCCCGTGCTCGAAAGCCAGTCGGATCCGACTCTAGGGTTGTGGTGCTCATCTCCGTTTCAAAGCCGAAGAGCCAGCGCTGTCCGAAGACGTTTCCACGGTCATGTGGCCGGCATGACTAAACACCAAGGCGCACGGACTCTGTTACCTATGTGTTTTATGTGCCTGACCTTGGGTGCCTAGCTGTGACACTTTCCCTGAGAACTATCACGTGGCCGGGGTCCCGTTACTTCTGGCAGGCTCCTCCGAATGCCTTCATTGGCTACGTGCCATCAGGGTACTCCTTTGAAACCAGTATACCTCCCATCCCCGCGTCTTTTCCGTTAGTCTTAACCAGGGGTCATTTCGTAGAAAAAGAGCTGCAGGAGCTCATTAGCATACCTCACAGGCCAGTGATGGCGAACCTTTTAGAGACCGAGTGCCCAAACTGCGACCTAAAACCCACTTATTTCTCGCGAAGTGCCAACACGGCAATTTAACCTGAATACTGAGGTTTTACTTTAGAAAAAACAACTCATACATACATTAACTTAAGATGATCCAAACAAAGTAAGGAAAGCAATCCCAAATGCTGTCATTTACTTAAAATTATTTGGCCGAGAATTCGACACTTTAATGACGGTCTGGGCCTGGCTGGGATGATGGCACGCGTGCCCACAGAGAGGGCTCTGAGTGCCACCTCTGGCCCCCGTGCCATAGGTTCGCCACCACTGCTATAGGCTATTAGCATAATAGCTTGTTAGCATATGCCGTGCCCCCTGACATCACCGGAAGTGATGCCAAGCAGAAGGTCTACCACTGAGCCACAGACAGGCCCTGGTTGGCCATTGCCTTCCTCTGCAGTGTTGGTCCCCCTGGTAGTCCATCCAAATACCGACCCCGCTTAGCTTCTGCGTGCCGCCTTCCCTCCCTTTTTGCAAAGCTGTTTTCTCTCAGGAGTCCACTTCTCTTGCATAGCAAGGAGAAAAACCCTTGTAGTCCTTCTGCAACAGATGCGCTGCACGAATGTATCCTCCTGTGTTGTAACAGACCCATAAGTATGTGCAGGGCTTTTTTTGTAGAACTTGCACACAAACAGTTATAACTCTATCGGCTGTGGCCCTTTCAGTGGTTGAAATCAAGCAAGATAGCAGGCGACTAGGGGTGTGCAGAAAAAAAAAACACTGGTATTTTTCAGGTTCGGGTATGCTGAACCCCCAAAATATTGGTATTTCCCGATATTCCTGAATCCCAATACTGGTATGGGATTCGGTAAATATTCGGGAATCCTGAATTTTTCAGCTCCATTATATCCTGTGGGGCTCCATTATACTCTATGGGGTAAATATTCAGGAATCCTGAATTTTTTTGTCTCCATCTGTTTTAAATTGTTTTAATAAAGAAAGTTTGTTTATTCAAGTTAGGTCACCCATATATGCATCTAACCTAAGGTCCGTTCCTGCCCAAAAATAGCCCTGTTATGCGGCATTCTTCCACAGACAATCCAGAGGGCCTCCTTTGCCCTTTGCTTGGTCCCTGAAATTTTCCCCTGCGGGCCTCCCCCCTCCCCCCTTCCCGTCCGACATACTCACTCTGGGGCAAGTCTTCGGCTCTGTAAATTCGGAGGGAGAAGTGGGCTCCTCGGAGGCACACCCCGGTCGGCCGGAGAATGTTGCCCTCGACGTCTTCCTTGTCTTCGGCGGCTTCCTTTTTCTCCAACTGCAAAGGAGGTGAGAAGGGCTCCTGAGAGCGGAGAGGGGCCTTGGGAGCAACTGGGGACCCCCAATCAGTTTACTGGGGCTTGCACAATGGATTGTGCCCTGGGAGATACAGGGGTGTTCCCAGAAGGGACGTCTCCCTGCAAGGCCACCCAGTGGCTGTACAACCCTCCACCCCACCCCCAGACACAAGCCATATTTCAACAGCACGAAATACCGATAAGGTATTTTTCAGATTTTTGGGGGGTCAGATTCAGCCAAATGCACACCCCCTACCGGCAACCCTCAGCTCAGAAGGACCCATGTGGTAGGCCCTGCCTATGCATTACCAGTGTTCTAATACTGAGGGGCTGGATCCTATACTCTACTACGGCTGGTGCAAGGTCACTTCCACTGGGGCAGGAGGGGGATTTTTTGGCAGATTTCTCCCTCCTTCTGCGGCCTGCCAAATGGCTGTCCAGTGCTGTTCCTGGGGTAGGATTGCCAAGTCCCCTCGGGGGGCGGGGAAACCCCCGCCCCAGAGGCCCGTTCCCCGGCAGATCGGGCCTCGGGG